TGTTGAGTGTTGAACATTCAAAGCTAAATCCCAAAGCACTTGTTCTCCTCATAACATAAACTTTTCTCTGAAAGTGGTTTTTTAATATTTCTTATTGTATATGTGTATTACAAATTAGCTAATATCTATGTTTGTTTTCTTTAACTCTAAAAGCATATTTTAGTTAGATTATAGAAATAAAAAATAACAAAAATAAGAAATAATTAATTGCTATAAAAAGAAATTGTCAATGCATAAGATTTTACAAAAAAAATGTAAACATTCCTTTATTTTACTTAGTAGAGAAATTATGCTTTGGAGTAAGCATTGATTTTTTTTAAGGAAGCAGAATCTCAACATTCACAAGAGATAAGAATGCTAAAATAAATGTCATATTATGCAAATACATAATTCTCAAGCGATTTTAACACATAAAAAGATAATTTGTAAAAATATATTATAAATTAACTTGAGTTAATTTGGACTACAAAAAATAGGAGGACTGTTACCAAGTAGTAGAGACATTAGTAACCATTAAAATTTTTATTGATTCCCCCCCCCCAAAAAGAGAAAACTTTAATGGCATAGAAAAATTCTAATGATATATCAAAATATAAGCTATGGAAAATATACCTCAAGAGAAATACTCTAGATGAAAACATAACACAATAGTAATATCTTTTTATAATTTTAGCTACTTGTCACATTTATTTTGGAATAATACATGCTCTTTTATCAAGAAAGAAATTAAAGTTCAATTTACTATTTCATAATAGTTTATGAGCTAAATAAGGAAGGAAAAATAATTTTCCATGTTATAGAGTTGGTAGTTCATCAAGTGCAGAATCATGAAATAAAATCTGATTAACAAAAAACAGTTACATTTCTTCTTCTCTGACTTCACACCTGAATGATACCAGAGAGAGTATAATGTGAATATTCTAAGCTTTTCATGATATGTAGGCACACAAATTGCCATCCAAGATGTTTTATATAAGGTTTATTTATTTAATATTCTTTAAAAATCCCTGTTTCTATTTAAGTGAAAAATAAATGTATAAGATCTGACAAATGTGTTTTAGATCTGACAAATGTGTTTTAGATCTGACAAATGTGTTTTGCTTTTCTATTTTTTTTTTTTTTTTTTTTTTTTTTTTTTAGACAAGGCAATTCAGGCTGACCACTTGCTTTGAAATAACTATGTATCCCAGACTGGAAGTAAGGGAATTTTTGCTTCAGCCTTTCAAGTGCTAAAATTATAAGCAAACAAATGTTAATAAGAAGGGACCTAAAAACAGGTAAAACATACCAGAGATATTAGTCAATAATAGTATCTTTGATTCAATATAATTGCAGTGAATGGAAAAAAATTAAAACTTTTTACTTTAGGAATATACTTAACATGTTATTATTATTAAGAATAAAATTACCCATAATAAAAATACGAGTAATACTAAATGTTAAGCAGTTCATGAAGTGAAATGTAAAGACTAAAAATGTCAAAAATTATCAATAGGTTTCTAATTAATAAATCTATTTTAATGAGCAATGAATTAAAGTGGAAATAAATATATGACTATTTATTGAGGATCACTAGCAAGAACCAATTAAGAGGCTAAAGCCATCAATAGCATTTGAGCCAGAAACATGCACCATTGTAGTAGACAGAGTCTACTTCTGCACATTCATTCTCATGTCTATGACCTCTTTTCCTCATGAAACATAACCGATTCTAGTTAAAGTGGAATTTTATAGCAGATTGCTTTATCCACTATGTGCAGAACCTAGTACCTTGTTTATCAAGATGTATGCATGTATAATTGCACATGGAATCACATTAATAATAAAAGTCTAACTATATCATCTTAAATTTTCATTGCACATGTAAAAATTAGTTGATTTGGAGGGGTATAAGCATTATTGCATAATTTTGGTATTATTTGCCTATTTTTAAATACTGTTTATGCTTATACATACAAGGTTAATTTGTTTGATGAAAGTCAAACTTAGCTATGAAGAAGTAGCCTCCAAGTCAAAGACCACAAATTTAAGGCAAAATAAAACAAAGTTAATTATGAAATATCAATTGATTGTAATACATTTATTTCTATCATTTTTGTTTGAAACATAGGTGCCAAGAAATATTTCTTTAGTACAAGAATGAATGCAAATGACAAATAATCACCTACTTCAGACCCAGAGACAAAATTATAGGAATTATAAGGACTTGGGCAAAGCTTTCATATGACTTCTGCACGAGTTTTTCTGTTCAACTATACCTGATGATGCTAATTGAAGATAATTTGACTTTTCAGTAGCTGTAAATCCAGATGTTGAATAAAAAGAGATCTTCTAAAAATGTTGGTAATCTTTGGAGATACAAAATACATACTATCTAGGCCAAATAAAACACATCTGTAGAGCATTTTTTGGACACCATCTCCTTACTATGATCTGAGGGTTATAATTTTGAGTATATGATGCGTTTATGAAAATTATATAATTTGATTACTGATGTGTCAAATGACTGACTAAAGAAAACAGTTTTCAAGGTTAGTATATAATTATTCAGTGTTAACAAATCCCATTTCAAAATAATGAATTTAAAAAGGAAATATCAAAGCTGAGACGTTGACAATAAATGGTAAGTATAACCTTTGTAAGTGGTAGTTTGAATGTAATATAACTGAATTTAGGTCACAAGTTCAAGTTGGTACTCTACATTTGCAGATATATGATTGTCTTTCTAAATTGTGACTATCCAATTATACTGACTACAAAATTCTGTCAAAAGGGACATTTTAATGGAAGCATTTTTCTAAGAAAACTAAAAATTTCAACCTCATTTTAATCATGTTAGGTATGCAAACTTCTGTTAATCAAATGGAAAAAAAGTCTTCAAAACCTAGAATGATTTATCGGTTTTACGAATGTGAAAAAAGATCACATCTTCAAGTAATAGATTAAAAGTACAAGGAAAGTTCACATTACAGCTATGCTGATGAAAATTACCTGCAGGCTGCTGCAACAGAGCCAGTGCATTAATTAACCTTTTGCCATAAAATTTAGAAACTTCAGCAGAGACTGAGGATTCTCATTTTCCTTGTTCCTGCTTCTTCACTGCATTAGAAAATAAACGATGTGCACATACCGAGGTCAATAAATAAAATATTCTGAGGTTTTATTCTTTCTCGTGTTACTTTAATAAAAAAATTTAAATTGTGATAAAATGTAGGAATTGGATGAGTCATCTTTTGTTTCAGTTAAAGATGATTAATAGTTGATTTGTATGTAGATTTTTCTTTGATAAATGAGATAATAAATTTATCAATATTAATTTTGGTTATTTTAGTTACTTTTCAACTCCCTAAGATAATTAAGTTGAATAAAATAAGTCTTTTATTAATGAGTTTTTTAAAAAACTAATCACAGATATACATTCTTATAAACTTCATTTTCAAATGGATTGACACATTGCACATGTTTTAGAGTATCAAACAAGCATTGTGATAGTTTTTACTGGGATTTTGAAGCTTAAATATCAGTAACCCTAACTGACGTCAGGAAGCACAAAAAAGTTCTAATGACAGCATTGTGTTACAGTGTTTCCTCAAGTAGTCAGTGGAAAGTATTAACAGAACTTGGTAAAAGGAAAAATTGTATAATATTTTAAAATGTACTAAATTATTCTTTTAAAATTGACATGTTAATTTACATGTCTTTATGCAATGTTAGAAGCAATATTTCATTGCCTCTGTATGGTAGTGATATCTCAACAGACTTTAATACTTTATTATTCAGTAATAATTAGGGCTATCACATTTCATTGCCTCTGTATGGTAGTGATATCTCCTCAACAGACTTTAATACTTTATTATTCAGTAATAATTAGGGCTGTTTTCCTCTCTAGCTTTTAAATTTATTTTTAATTAATTTATTATTTAAGTAGTTAACAGTGGGCCCATCATATTCTTGTTTAGATAATGGATAACATGTAAATTGTTTCAGAATCTTAAGGTATGTCCTTGTTCAACAGAATTATGATTTACTATATTCATCTTCAAAGAGCTAAACTAGTGAATATGCTCCAAAATATTTTTTAAGGATTCAATTTTTAGTAGCAGGTAAGATGTCTGCAATAATGTACCAAAGAAAGAATATGATGTTTGCAATAATGTACCAAAGAAAGAATTTTATTTTTACAAAATGAGTAATGCTTATCTAGAAAACATGCAGTTTTATATTAAAGGTAAGTACATATTTTATTAATAAATATTTCAAAATAAATAGCTATTTATAATAATTTCAAACAAAACAAAATATTTGTACTAATATATTAAAAATTTTCAAATGGATCTTCCTATTATATCTAAAGGAGGACAGTATTTTTGTTATTTTGTTTTACTTTTTGAAACAGGGTCTTGCTTTGTAGTTCCAACTGACCTCAACTCACCATATATTGTCAAGGCTAGCCTCGAACTTTTTAAGTAATCCTGCTGCCTGAGCCTCCCAAGTTCTGGGATTACAGGCATGTAATGCTACCACCACACTCAGCCAGAGAAACAGTTGCTCATGGCTGATAAAGTTAGACTATTTACCAAAACATTTTTTGTTATTTCCATTTTAAGAACACTTGTACTATAAAGCATATACTTTGGGTTAAGATATATACTTACTAGAAGTACCAAGGCTAGCACATTCTTATCAAGTGGAAAATTCATAATAAACACATATAAATTGGCACCTATTTATATGAATTTATAAAATTCATAATAAAAACAATTTGAATATATAGTATATAAAGCATCAAGAGAAATTAGAGATTTCTATCAATAGTTTTTCCTATGCTGATTTCAACTGAATTTAATACTACTATTTATTATTATATGTATATGTAAATGGTACTACATTATACATACATAATAAGTATGATTTGAAATAATTCAAATGACCAAAATTTATAATATTCCTTTATTATTACAGGAGTGTATACCATTCTTTGAAAGTTACGATCTACATACCTGACAGGTAATGTTCTGTCTCCTTTTCTCCTGTCCATTTCTCTTTGGGGCACAGGATACCAGCGGAAATTCAGTTTCCAGTTAAAACCTCCATAAGTCATATCTGACCCAGCCATATATTCAAAGGTATCATCACTAATTACATCAATGATAGGGCACACAACTGTTTTCCTGTAGAAAAATTAAAACCAGTTTACATATAATTGATCATTTAAATGTAACAATTGATTCTTCAAATTGATTATAGCTGGTATTATAAGTTAATTTCTTTGTTTTAAATATGTCTTTGATTTTATTTCACCACTTTTTATATGAAATTATTTCATTTGACTATATCTTACGTACATTCTCCTTATTCTAACATGTGAAATCTAATCAAATATTTTAATTGACCTTCAAGCTGATTTCCAAATGCATTCTGAGTACTAACTCAGTAGTATGAGAATAGCCTATTTTTCATAAAACCTCCACCCACAGCATGATTAGTAGAGCTGCTTCGAGATTATACATCATTTTAGCTACAACTCACTGAAAAGCAATAACATGCACAGAGGGGAGAAGAGAAGATAGAAAATTAGATCTGATAGTTTGCATTTCAAATAGGGTAGGTTAGTTTAAAGGAGAGTTCTAAGAATATTCTCATGGGGAAAAAAACTCCTAGTAGAATAAAAAACAGGACTAATTAAAACCATAACCCATCAGTATGATAAATGTGTTCTGTGAAAGATAATAAACTCATGACAATTTCTGAATGAACTTTGTAGAATAAAGAATTTATAGTTGCCATAATCCAGATGCTATTGTAAGAAAGGGTAAGACAATCAACTTAAGATTCTGATTTTTCTATGCTTTTTCATAAAGTAAGAAACATTCAAAGCTTAATGTTCTTGATCGTAGCTCTTTAATGTGAGAAAATTTCACTTGGGAATATCATCTTTTAATCCATGGAGTGCCTTCTCTAATTTCCCTTATTCCCAGCTTACATGTTTTCTATGGGACCATCCTGCTATCTCCATAAGTAAATGTTCAAATCTATCCAAGATTGCATTGAGTGTAGCTAATTATGAAGAATTAGAGTTTGTTTTTCACATATAGCAGGGGGCAAATATAATAATAGGCTTCCAAATTCTACATGTACATTTGGAAAGAAGAGTTGACCACTGTTTCTTTTTAAACACTAATGTCATCTCACATTAAACACATTTGGTCAAAGCCTGAGCTTCTCCAAAATCAATAGAATTCATCGAGACATCTTGGTGACTCTAGACCTAATAAAATTTTTTTTCTTTCATTAGATTTAATAATTTCACTTATGGAATAAAAAAGATCTTATAATCATGGACAGAATTTATTATCTCTTTAGAATAATGCTCAAATTTATCATCAAGACAAAGGATGAAGTTTATTACATAGAAATATAACACATGCACATATAGAATAAATAATAAATTTCCATATTCATGACCACAATAAAACTTTACATTAAAAACTAAGTTGAATGTGAAACATACATTTCAAAAAGCAGCACAATGCACAGAAAGTTGCCAGAAAATGCGTTTAAGATGTTCTGTTTATTTTATTTTGCCAGTCTTATCTCCCTGTGAGTACTGCACAATATACAAAATGCTATCAGCTGTGTACCACCTTCAGTTGAAGAAAAGACTCCCAGTGCCTTCTTGAACTGCTGTGGTTCACTGTGCTGACCAGGCTCCATCCACCTTCCCAGCAAGTACTAACTCCTGCCAAAGTCGCTCAGACTAAGCAGCCCCTGTCTTGAGTATCTAGTCTACACAGACTCATTTACTGAACATGCAAGCAAAGTGTTATGTAATGCTTTGCTGCCACAGTGGACAACATTCAGTTTATCTTCATTAAAGTGTTTAGAAATTCTACTCATTTATTCCCAATGTTTATGAATGTTTGCAAAAATACTTTTGCATCGTTGCATCACCACTGGACAGAAAGAATTACATTTCTGTACCAGGGTTCTTTATTTCTACAGAGTGTTACTCAACTTTTCAAAGTTCATAATTTGTATGTAGAGAGTAGAAATATTGCTTAAATAATTAAACTTACAGCTGTGCTCTTTGTTTGCTTGTTTTTCTAATCATGATTTCATTTCAGTGGGGAGAATGTGTGTGCGTGTTTATTTTTAAGATTCTTGAGTTTAATTTGAACTATAACACCATTGAGGTAATAAACAGAACACTGGTGAGTGAGTAGGTAGAAATGGATTATCTAGCACTTTCAGGAACTGGGTCAAGGTTTTAAATTTTTTTTCTCCCTATTGTTAGGTACAGATAAAATTATCTGCATTACTTACCTCAAAGTAGAATTGTGAGGACCCAAAATTGCTTTGGAAATTTGTGTGTAAAACATATTGTACTATTTCTCACTGGATTGCTTTCCTCTACCTAGAAGCCAACATGCAACACACTTATATTGTTTGGATTATTTAACTATTTCTTAAAAAAAAAAAAAAAAAACAACTCATGTTTAACCCAAAGAAGCCAATCCTTCGTATACTCAAACTGCTTTTTAAAAAGACATACGAAATGAATATTCTGAAAATAGCGGCTTGGAAGAGAAATAGTGTTAGGTAGAATTGCCTTTACAGGTTTAGTTGTAACCCACGCAGACGTAACACATGAACTTGTACCTGTCTTCCTTTATTCTTGCCAGCAAGGGCTCCAGCCATCCTAACGTGCACTCACAGTGTGCATCCAGGAAAGTTATCACCTGCCCCTTTGAAGCAGCTGCTCCTCGAAGACGGGCACGTATCAGCCCCGAGCGCTCTTCCATCCTGATAATTTTGACTGGGACTTCTAAATTCTTCACGTAATTCTCTAAAGTCAACTTGAGAAAATCTGTAACATGCAATAAAAATTTCAAAACTGTTTTAAGACAAAGAAGTTACTTCCATGGTGGAAATTCAACACAGAAATGGTGGCCAACTCATAACATGACTTTTGCGTTAAGATAAAGTTATATCAGTTATATCAGTTAATTCGGGTCTTATATCCAGCCATGTAACTTCTTCTTGAATTGGGAATAAAGAAAATATTTTGGGTGATAGCTTAGGGTAGTTAAAGTAAATATGAAGAAAAGTGGAAGACTTAGTTAATTGTTCTTGTAGTTAACATTAATAAGGCATAGTGATAAAAATTGGGTAGATGATTGAGAGCCAAACACAAATCACTGTACCTATTGTTTAACTGTTATAAAGCTTTCTAATTAAAAAATGCAACTAACACATTTTATACCTCTTTCACTGGCATCATCTACCAAGATGACCTCAGAGAGTAAGTAGTGTGGGGAGCGATTTATAACACTATAAACAGTTCTAAGAAGAGTGCTCCATGCTTCATTGTGAAACACAATGACTACACTTGTGTTTGGAAGTTCATCAGGGTAGACTTTTGTCTTGCATCTGGAAAAGAGAAAAGAAGAAAGATATTAACTAATTTATTTTTCATCCTATTCATTAAAAGAAGAAATATCCATAATACAAATTCAGTCTTGAAAAAATACTGAAGAAATGTTTTATCTAAAATCATTTTCTTTCTTATAAATGCTATGAGTAATCACTTGGCCTTTTGAAAATTAAATATGCATAATTACTAATATTTTATTTTAACTCCTACAGGGAACAAAGCAGCATGATTTCTACAAATCTAAGAAAGCTAAATGACATCCTGAGACTGTCAATAAAAACTAGGTATAACAGGAACAGATGAGCTCATTCATTGGATGTAATTTTATTCTTTGTTTTGAAAAAACAATTATTACATAACTAAAAAGTCCTAACCACAGAGAGGCATTTGAGTCTACACTGTTCTGAAAATTAAAAACAGATTTTTTATTGCAAAATCTTGTTATGTATGATTTCCATTCTACTTAAATAGTATAAGCCATATTGTGTTCAAAAAAGGGTTTAAGAGTCATTGTCCCATCTTAAAATTTCCTGATTTTCTGAATACCGGCAAAGGAAATGGACTTTCCTCAGGATTGAGACTGAGATTTGGTAATTTTAAAAAGGTCTCAGGAGATTAGGAGCCTCTCATCTCAAAAGCCCACGAATTAATAAGAAAATAGATCTGTCATTCCACTTAAGATTTTGCCGTACAAAAAAACTTTCAGCTTTACTTACAAATCCAAACTAGTCCAGATTTCACATTTTGAGCATACAATTCAAAAATGTATGTTTGGGTAAATGGTATGTTCAGTGCTCTAGGTGGTTCTCCAGATTTAACATGCAGCTGGCTGTTTCCCCTGTCAACCTGTCAACATTCCTACAGTTCTGTCATGCATTTTTAAATCATTATGATTATAAAAAAAGTCAAAGAGTTTCTGGAGCAGTAATAGAAGTTTATTCTTGAGGTTGTTCTTAATGTAAAATATTTTAAAAATAAAATAATTGCACACAATTAAATGCACCAGATGCCCCCTGACATTTATGATAATGTGCTAATACATACACAATGGAACTTTGTTAAAGGTAGTTCCTTATGAATGAGTAGAAAGAAAATCAAAACAATGTGAAATGTGAAAACACATAAACCAAACTGATTGTGTACCTGTTAAGATATTAATCATCTTTAAAACAGCCTAAAATGTAACATGAAATCTTCATTATTACAGGCAGATAATAATGTACATATTCCTATCTATAACTTTGTTCAGCATATAGTTATTTGAAAACAATTAAAAAAGCCTTCAAAATACAAGCTTAATTCACATACAAAAAGATGAAAATGTACTGGAGTGAGAAAAGCAGTTAGAATCGTAGCTATCTATTCTAGTGGTGGTGGTAAAATTCAAATACTTCCTTTGAACTTCATTATCTTTTCACTAGAATCTCTAGGTAGGTCATCACTGGTGGAACTGAAATAACGATATTAGTAAATGTGCAGTGTTTTCTTCTCTACTATTTTATATATTCCTCCACCCTCCTTACTCGTTAAATATCTCAGCACTTACATCATGCAAGCACAAAACATGTATGATAACGATAATCACTATCATCAATAAAGAAGTCATTTGGAAAATAGGATGAAGGCTATCTCACATTAAAGAACCACTGTATTAGTCCATGATTTTCTCACTTGGACTTATTTGGAAAAAGTAATTTCTTTTTAATAATAATTTTGTATTTGATATACTAGATGCCAATAAAGAAAATAAGAATGATATAAATTTATGGAAATTATTTAAAATGCTAAACTGAGAGCACGTATTTGGGTCCTGCTTCTTAAACCACTTTTCTCAAGCTTTACTTTTGTGGTTACAATATTCTTACACCACTGGTAACTTTATATTCATTATGTGTCAATGCTATAATGAACTAATTTACCATTGATGCAGCTATTATGTTTGCTTAGAGCAAATTTCCACTGTCATTTTTTTAATGTAGCATAAAAGTAAAATTGGCTAATATGTTTATTAATTCATTTTCTTACATAAATAGTCATGCATCAAGGGAAATGTAATTTCATTTATACTGAATGAATAAGTTCTAGTGATCTAATGTAGAGCATAGTTATTATAATTAATATTGTACCACACATTTGAATTGTACTAAAATAATTTAAGTCATCTAACCCCACACACAAAAAATAATGTTATGAAATGGATATTCATTTAGCTTGATTTTGATAATCATTCCATAATGTTTATGCACATCAAATGTAAAGTTTTATACCTTAAATATATACAAGTTTTGTCAAATATAAATTGAAGTTGAAAACTGTCAGTAAACCAAAAAGAGAAAAGAAAATTATCAGTAGAGAAATGTGAAGTACTGATAATTTAAATAACTTTTAAATTGTACAAATTAAATATTTTCATGGCAGTTTACCTAGTTATCTCAAAACCGTAGATATGTATGAACATTCATGATTTTCATATTTATGATTTTGTGACATATTCAACTGATATATTTTTTATATTTCATCAAATCACTGGTTTATATTTAGTAAGATATACTATGATTTTATGTACTATAGACAAATAAGCTAAAGCATTTTTTTTTTTGTCCTGAGGATCAAACCATGACCTTGTGCTTACCAGGCATGTGCTGTGCTATGAGCTAAATCCAAGTCCTAAAGCAAAATATACTTATCACTAGAATATTTTCATTACTTAGAGTTTATAGAAAAAATTTAAAACTATTTGGACATAAACTCTATGAATATTACCATGCTCAATTTATGGCTAAGTACCATCAAATTCCTCATAAATGAAAATTTCTTTCACCTGTTCTATGAGGCTTCCTGCAGTTTCAAATTGTATTTTTTAATAGAATTACCAAACATTTAGCTCATATTTCAGTATTAAAACGATTGGATTTGTCAGTACCTTGCTTTGTACTGTGAATTTTTTCTTTGTGTATGTGTGTGTGTGTTTTATTTGTTTGTTTGTTTGTTTTTCGTGGTGCTAAAGATTGTACCCAGGGCCCCATGCATGCTAGGCAAGTGCTCTGCCACAAATGATACCTTCACAACTAAAGTTATTTATATAAATTTTATACAAATTGTGTTTAAAACTTTATCATATAAATACATTATGTAGAGATCTTGCTAAAAACTAGGTTTTGATTCCATAAATGCAGGATAAATGTATGTTCATGTATCATAAATGTTTGTCCATGATTTAAATAATAAAAAGCTCTATATATTTACTCAGCTAATGATTATCCCTGTGTTGGTTACTTTTCTCGTTGCTGATACAAAATACCAGACACTCAGAGTTAAAGGGCAAAACTTTTATTTAATTAACAGTTTGCAGATATTTCAGTCTACTATCAACTGGCTCCAAAACTGAGTGGAATGACAGACAAGTATTGTAGAGGCGAAATACTTCATGGTTGGCAGAAGATAGTAAACCAACCAAGGGACAATCACAGCTCCTCCTATTCTTTATATCTTATCCAGGCCAATTCAGGATAGACAGCACTCACATCCTTAATCCTAGTGCCCTTGCGCTTAGCATTGCACCAAGAATCAATCCCAGCATCACATATTATAGATCAGTCACCTTTGAAAAAGCCTCATCTCTGATTCCATGAGACTTTGAGAGGGAATCTAGACATGAGCCATAACATTCTGCTCTCTGGTCCACAAAGACGCATGTACATCACTTCATGAAAAAGGCATTTGTCCATCTTTTAAGATGTGCCAAAATCCAAGCATTGGATTTTAGCATTGCTGAAAAGTCCAAGTTCAAAGTTCCCCCTAAGATTTAAGGCAAACTCTTATCTGCAAGATTCAACTACAAATGAAAAGGAAATTAAACACTTTTAATATTCAATGGCAAAAAATAGACAACACCTTCCAAAAGGTATAAATAGGAGGACACAAAGGAATGAGACCAAATAAAATCTAAAATCCAGCAGGGCAAACATTAAGTCCTGTAGTTCCATGTGTAGAATTCCATACACTCAAGTTGTGAACTCCAATGGCCTTACATGGCTCTACCTCTATAGCATTTGTGGTAGTAGCAGTTCCCACGGCTTCTCTATTAGGACCACCTTGCTTCCTCCCTGTAGCCTTCCTCACATGACCCATGTCCTTGGATTTTCCACACTTTTGGTGTGGCCATTGCACCTTTGGCTTGACCCTCACAGCTTCACACATTGCACTCTCAAGGGCACACGGCCTGGTCTTCCAGGTCTTCTGAAATCTGTGTGGAAGCCTTCTTAAACCCATAACTCTCGCATTCTGTAGATGCCTATAAACAGCACAATGTGGATGACGCCAAGATCTGCTGCCAGCTGGATGAGTAGTTAGACTTCCCTTGCTCTTACCTGTAGGGATTGAGTGCCTGTGAACAAATACTGAAGAACAACTTACCTAGACTGCTGCCACTTAAGAACACAGTGTTGTGGGTTCTCTTCTTACAACAGATTTGGAGTCACTGATCCCACAAATGATCGCTTTTATAAAAAATCTAACATATTCTTACTTCTTAACTTTATTCTAGACAACTTTTTTTTAAATACTAAATCGCAATGTGATCTTTTTCCTACCTGAGAAAAATCCTTGATCTCTATTGTGTGAGATATTTGCCTTTGTTTATTGGTCTATGAGACTTTGCTTTTGCTTATTTTTTTTTTTTTTTTTGGCTAACACACAAAAATATAAAAAGAAATTATAGATACTAATAGGAACTATGGAAATTTTGATACACGTTACACAGTGTTTAAATCAGGATAAATGTATTTATGGCCACAAATCCTTACCATTTCTTCATGGTGAAAAGTTTCAAAATCATTACCACTAGGATTTAAAAGTTATAATGCATAACTGTTCACTTTATTACCACAGTTATGCCACAATAGTACCCCAGAGCTTCTTGCTATATAATTATAAATTACTACCTATTCATCATACTTCCTTCATCTAGCATCACCACCTCCTTGTTGTAGCCTTT